AACAAGAGAATGGAAAGATGGTAAGTGTAATGGTAACAAATGATGAATTGTTTGGGATAATTATCCCCTCAACAAGAGAATGAAAAGATGGTAAGTGTAATGGTAACAAATGATGAATTGTTTGGGATAATTAATGCTTCTGGTTGCGACTGTTCGTTTATTTTGAAACTATTTTGTTACGAAAAAGTTTTGGTGTTTCGAAATAAAAAGCGATATTAAATTTAAATGTTTGGCTTCCTCCATGAACAGGCGCAGTTTGTGTTGTGACTGGAGACAACATAACAATCCGTTTAGGCCTAGTATCCAGTATTCGCCCAGGTCAAACTCTCCACCTTCGAGAAGGAAACGAGCTGTACGACCATGTACATTTATCTACTGAGGCTACGGGCGACGTCATTATAGCAGAACCACTAAATCCGGTATCAAATTACTCTCTCTTCTTTATTTCTGTTTTTTTATTGTTTCAGTTTTGTTTTTGTTGCTTTTATCAATTTTGATAGCTCAGTACTTATACCTGTGTACTGTTTCTACCAGATTCCTCCTAGCTTTGTGCTGTACGGCCCAAGTGAAGTTTGCGGTGGAGAGGTGAACATTACTGTGATGAGTATTATCGGAGACGGAGCAGCTGAGCTAACCTACTTCTGGAGTATATTTCCAACAGACAGGAGTATGTATATTTTAAACCTTTTTCTAATTAAAAAATTCATACTAACAGTTTCAGAACAGAGGTGCTTGGTTTATAATAGCAGTTTCATAACAAGTTATCTCATAAAATAAGCTGTACTCCTGACTCATCCAATTCAGCCACTTCCTTGTGTGAGAGACCCAAACCCGAAAACACTTCCAATGTCGTAAATGTTTCCTCTAAAACATTAACTGAAAGTCAACACAACCTTCTCAGTAAAGGTCTCAACTTTTCTCCTACCCCTAAGAACATAGATAATTTCGAAGTTATTTCCCATCTTCAAGAATTTGCACGCAGATTAAGACTTCGGGAATTTTTCCACAATAAAACCACTAATGGAAACGATATCGGTACACAGTTTAAAGAAAACTCCATCTGGTCACCCCCAGTCAAACAGAGAACCACACTTAGAGAGCTTTATTACTGCAGCTGAGAATGAAGTAATTCAAGCCATTAACTCTGACTTAAAAGTACGGAATAATCTCTCCTACAACGAATATGCTGCTCTAATTTCACTGAAACATGACAATGACATTATTATTAAACAAGCTGATAAGGGCGGCGCCATTGTCATTCAGGACAAATCCGACTATATTAACGAAGCTTATCGACAACTTAATGACATAAACTACTATAAAAAAGTAGATTTGGAGCCCACCCCGGAATTTGTTAAAATAATTGAAGACAAGCTATGTAGCTTACAGAGAAAACCAATCCATAAGTCGTGAAACTTTACAGTTCCTTTTACCTAAACACCCAGTTCCAGGTCGCTTTTACATGCTACCAAAGATACACAAACATAACTATCCCGATCGTCCTATTATTTCCAATTGCGGTATGTCCACCGAGAACCTATCTGCTTACGTTGATAATCACATCAAAGACGTGTTTGGCGTCATATATTAAAGACACAACACATTTTTGAACATGATCTATGACATTAACAATAACGGAAAATTACCTCCAAACACTATTCTCTGCACCATGGACGTTTCTTCTCTTTACACAAACATTCCCCACGACGATGGCCTGAAAGCTCTTGAATCTTTTCTTTTGAAACTTGACATAACCAACACTCAGACTATTTTAGACTTAGCTAAACTAGTTCTTACACTTAACAGGTTTGAATTTTATAATGAATTCTATACTCAGACAAAAGGCACAGCTAAACTATGCCAATGTTTTCATTGGAGACTTAGAGAAGAGACTGTTGGAAAGTTATAAAGAGAAACCAAACATTTGGAAACGATACACAGATGACATTTTCTTCATTTGAGTAGGAGACGAAGACTACTTACTATCTTTCTATAGACATGCAAACTCTTTCCACACTTCTATTAAATTTACTCTAAGTTACTCCACTACTCAAATAAGTTTTTAGATGTAAACCTGACATTAAAAGATGGTTTTCTACATACTGATTTGTACCGTAAACCGACTGATAGACCACAATACTTACATTTTCAAAGCTGTCACCTTCCACATGCCAAACGAAATGTTACATTCAGTCAAGCACTTAGATTAAAGAAAATATACTCTGACAGTAAGAACTATGACCGTCACATTGATTCTTTGAAACTAACTACGACCGTCACATTGATTCTTTGAAACTAACTACGACCGAAAGAGGGTATAAACAAAACACTGATTCAACAAGTTGACAAAGATAACAATATTCCACGTGTATCTGCCTTGAAACAGTCACCTAAAACAAATTCCTCTCGTGTTCCACTAGTTATCACATATCACCCAAAATTAAAAAATCTACCCCGGATACTGAGAAAGCACTTTTACCTCCTTCAACTTAATGATAGACTAAAGACTATTTTTACGGAAGTTCCTGTTGCTTCTTTTAGGAAAAATAAGACTTTGAAATCCCAATTAGTGCACGCCAAAGTTAACTTTAATGCGACACCTGGTGAAAGTTATCCCTGCAATGGCAAACAACCTGTAAGTTCACGCAACAGACTAACAATTTCTCTGATAAAGACAACCAAAGACAGTTCAAAATCAATAAACCCATAACTTGCGCTACAAAAAACGCTATTTACTTAATCCAGTGCCGAAAATACAACTTACAGTATGTAGGCCAAAGTAAAACAACTATACGGGAGCGGTTTAATAACCACCAATCTTCAATCAAAATGAACAAAGAACTTCCGGTTGCAGAGCATTTCAACATGCCTGACCACTCTCTTGACGACATGATACTGACAGGTATAGAGACAAATTTTACATCAAACAGAAACAGGGAAATTGAAGAAGCTTACTGGATAGCACTGTTAAATACTGTAACGCCGAATAGCATCAATCTCGATCCTGGGATTGTTGACCTTCGAGCGTCACTAAAAAAATTCCGAATAACTTGTAATAAAGTTTGTAAAGTTTTATTATTATTATTCACATTTTTATTCATGCTTCTATTTCTGTACATTATTATTATTATTTCAGGTATCGATTTACATTATTATTTTCTCTAGCTCTCATCTTCCTATGTATTTTATTTTTCTCTATCAGTCAAAAGTTTCTTATATAATGAAAATTAATAATATATTTTTTTTTTTCTCTACAAACGAATTCTCCCATCCGGGAGACTAACGGCTTGAGTTTGGATTGGCTGGTCACCAGATTCAACTTAACTGGGACTTTCGGTTTACATGACGTCACACGTCCTACTATAT